GCAGCTTGGGTGGGTGCTGTGGAGTCAGGTTGCTGCACTCAGAAACCATCCCTCGAGCATGTCCTCAGGGCTGGAGCAGCCTTTCAGAAAGAAGGGTCATTGTCTTCTTCAGGCGGGTTTCTTGTAACTGGCAATTAGCAGTCCTAAAACGGTAATGAGGCAACTTGACTCCTTGTGGCTGGGGAACAATGGTGGCCCGCAAAGAGGAAAGGGATCTTATGCCCTGGGAGGGCCAAGCATGAGCCCTTGGCTGGACATTTTGCTCCTGCTCTGCCTTGGACGAAGCAGCCAGGTTGGCGTTGAGGATGTCCAGCTTGTAAGAGCACATCTCTTCTGGCTCCTGAGCACTACCTTGTTCTGCCAGCCTTCAGTGATAGCAGCATCATGGGGAAAGCTTGCCAACTGCAAGGAGAGTTTGCACCAACCTGCACCCTGGGTCTTATGATCTCCACTGGAGGAGATGGACCAAGGGCTGCCCACATGGAAATGCAGCACTGGAGGTGCTGGGCTTGATTAACCTTCTTTCTTCTGCAGCCTTCCTCCCACTGAATGTCCTACACTTCTAGCAAATTTCTCCACTGAAGCAAGGAGAGGATCCTTGCCTTTCCATGAGGCACCTGAGCAAAATGCAGTGATTCAACTTGTGGATGGCAACTTGTAACTCAACTTCCAGGGCTGGCAGGCAGGCAGTGAGGATGAGTGTGTGCCGATCTGGGGGTAGTTGCTGCCTTCCTGCTCCAGGGTGGTTAAACCAGGTGCCTTCTGCTGAGTACCTCACTCCAAAGAATGAAAGGGAAAGCATGGTTAATTAGCTTCAATTACGTGACTGTTAAATCCACAAAAACCTGTTTCAGGCGGGTGAGTCACAAAGCACCCTGGAGCAGTTTTGTGTGAAGACTTGAGCTGCTGGTGTCCTGTTCAGCTGACCAAAGGCTGTGTTTGTCCCTTCTCTGGTGTCAGTGTGCAGAAAAACAGCTCAAACTTTGCAGTCTCAGACTGGGACCTCACCAAGATTTGAGTATTCAAGCAGGGCTTGCATGTTTGTGATGGAGGACAGCCCTTTTCCTAGGGAGGTCCCTGCCAAAATACTGGCAGGGCAGGGGTAGGGGAAGCAGCCAGGAGAAAGGGATTTTCTTGAGGGAAGAATAACGTCTGGGATGATTCCCATATTTGGGAGGAGATCCTGCGAGTTGTCCATATCTGTAGTGCCTCTGGCCCCAGGTGAGCTGCAGCAATCACTGTGAGCATGACAGAAGCACTCTGCATAGCAAGAGCTGTGTATCCCTGGCTGGAGCGGCACTTCACCTGGGTTGCAGTGGAGGCACACATGTCCTTGTGGGCCTCTGCTCCTCCCTGCCAGGTTGTGTAAGGCTTGGAGCAGAGTAGAAGCCAGGTAAACACTAGGGCACCTTCATGCCAAGTGATTGCCCAAGTAAAGGACAATCTCTTTGTGATATCCTGAAAGCCGGGTACCTTTGAGCTGTCTATGCTGCAATGGAGTGGCTGTGGTTTCCTATAAGGTTTCACCTGATGCTCTCAGTAGTTTCTGGGTGCTCTAAGGATCCTGCCTGCATCCAGACAGCACCTCTAGAAAATAGCACATGGGCAGGAGAAAAAATGAGGGAGGACAGAGAGAGGCTCTGCCTAAGACTGAATCCTAGAGAGGGCATGGAGATGGACTGGAGGTCTTCAGGACACCAAGCTCAAAGGCTTGGTGGTTGGGTAGGAGGAAAGAGTTCAGAGGAGAGATGTCTTTGAGACAGATGCAGTGAGACACGTTATCCTGTTGCAACAGTTGTACCTAAAAAAGATTTCATGGGAGGCGTGGTGAGTTTTTTTGCTTGGTTTGTCCTTGTCTGGGAAGGTGACCAGTGAGATATGAAGCTGAGGGTGAGCGATGCCCTCAGAGATCCCACAGCCACTGAAAGGCCACAGATCAGAACGGTTCCGTAGGGGATAGCAAAACCAACTTTTAGGGCTGACAGAGGGTTAAGGAGAGCAAAGAGATGCTATTACATTTGCTCCCCAACTGCAAGGCGTTGGCCTCCCCTGGGGTCCTCCATCCATCAGCCCCAAACCTAATGGAAATGGTCCTGCAGACCTTTCCTGGAAGGATTTTTCTTGCAAGCAAAAATAGGAAAGAAGGGTGTGGAAAAGCAAATGAAAAATGTATCTTTAGCCATGTTCAAGAAAAACAAGAGCTGGCCAGGGAAGCGCTCTGATGCAATTAGTGCAGAGCAGAAGCGAGGTGAATGTTCCTGTTTACTGCCTTGCTTTGTGTAGCTCCAGCTGTGGATTTACTGTCCCCTGCCCAGCCGTGTCTGCCCTAGCACTGCTGGCTGCTCCAGAGGGCTCTGCCCAGCCTACCGCATGGGGTATTTCTCATTTCACACTTCAAAGATGCTTGAACAATGTAGCTGCACATCAAAGGGCTGAGCAGAGCCCGAGGGACACGGGAGGAGAGGACAATCGCTAGCCCCACAGGAGTCGTGGGTACCCGTGGGGCACAGGGCCCCACCACTCCCCAGCCAGGCCAGTGGTGCCTCTGGCAAGTTTGGTTCATCCCTGGCTGCTAACAGAGTTGGGAGATCAGCTGTGGCTCCGCGGTCATGCCGAGAGGTGTGCTCCAGCGAGATCAGAGGAGTTCCCATGGACGTGCCCTCCGTGAGGCCAAAGGCTGCTCCTGGCCAGCATGGCTGCGGCCAAGGTGCCACGCTGGGATTTATTCCCCTTCAGTACAGTGAGAGATCTTCCTCTTCCCAGATGTTTCAACTGAAATGCTCCTTGGGGAAGCGTCTGGCTCTTGCTGTGGGTGTTGTGTTGCATCCAGTGCTGCAGACCCTGGTCCAGCCAAAGCACAAGCAACAGGACACATGGGCAAGCCACTGCCCAGCCTTGTAGCCAGGGTGTGTGCCAAGCATCCATCCAGCTGCTGCCTTGGGGAGCTTTTGCAGGCAGCAGAGGCATCAAAATTCGAGGATTTTTCACTCTCTGCCTTGCTGCCACTACCAGCAGGAGGGTTG